GATGAACAAAATAACAAATTTTAATAACCACACGGTGTCCCCCCCCCACCCCATCCTAGTTCTCCTGGTCTGGGAGAGGGACCAGGAAGGCTCAGTCCAGGGTCCTGCAGGGAGCAGCAGGGAAGGAGGAGGGATCCTGGGAGCTGAGTCGGCAAAGGGATTCCCTCTGGTGCGTCCACAGGCAAAGCGGGGCCTCTATCCGGAGTGACGCGGGGGGCCCTGTGGGGCACTGGAGCTACCTCCCTGCTCTTCCTGTCCTGCACCCTCCTCCTCCTCCTCGGGTGAGCGTTGGCGGGCGTCGGGGAGGCCGGGCAGCACCCTGGAGAGGAGGAGGGCGAGCTGGGCCCAGCCCTGAGCTGGAGGGACCTGGATGGCCGAGGGCGTGAAGCCAGGGCACCTGAGGTCCAGGTGGGCTCTGGGGGAGCCAGCCACGCAGGACCACGTCCGAGCAAGGGGCTCCCGGGCTGTCCCCACTCTCGGAGGCCGGAGCCCGGAGCTGCCTTCCCAGTAGGAGCCTCCAGGACAGGACCGTCCTCTCCCACTTGGCCGCCCTCCTGGGCTCAGCAAGAAGCAGGGGTGGGGCGGCCGTCTGCCCTCTGCGCCGCCCTGGCCCCACTGAGGGCTCCTTGGTGTCCCCATTCAGAGCGTGCTCCTACAGGAAGAGGTCCGCCAGGCCAGCGGCAGGCTCAGGGGATACCAACGCTGTCCAGGGCCCAGCCTCTCAGGTGAGTGACATGGGACATCCCCACACCTCCCGGAGATGTCCCCAGGACTGCTCTGCTGAGGGTGGTGCAGCTGCTCTCCCCTCTTCCCCGGGACAGACGGCTGTCCACCTGGATGCCCACACCGTGGGCTGCTGACAGCACCCTCCTCCCTGCTTTCTCCCTGGCCAGGCCTGAGGGATCCCCCTCTGTTCTGCTGTCTCCTGTTAAAACATTGTGTCACATCATGTCTCCTCAGAGCAGCGAGCACCAGCCCCCGCACTCCCTGACCCCTTCATGGTTAGGGGCTGGGATCTCTTCCTTGGACCTGTTCACCTCCCGCCTGTGTCTCCCCTTCCACCTGGTGCCATCTTCCAGGTGCCCAGTGTCCACTTCCTCTGCTCTTGAACATCGTCTGCAGGGGCAGACGGTAGACCCCTTGGCTGCTGACCCCCTGTCCCTGTTGTGGCT